GGGAGGGGACGGGGCGGCCAGGCCAGGGCTCGGGCTCGGGCCGCGACAGGGAAGGGGGCAGGCAGCGGGGCCCTGGGGGAGATGCGGCGTGCAGGGGCAGTGCCCTGTGCTCTCCGCAGGGGTTGGCTCCAGCAGGACACGCTCGAGGAGCTCCCCTGGGGGGCCTGCAGTCCGTCCCGCACAGCCAGGCCCTTCGGGCCTGCTCTCGGCCCCTCGTGGCAGCGGGACTGCTCAGACTGTTCATACGAGGAGCGGCTGGGGGAACTGGGGGGGGTCAGTCTGGAGAAGAGGAGGCTGAGGGGAGACCTCCTGGCCCTCTGCAACTCCCTGCCAGGAGAGGGCAGAGAGGGGGGATGAGTCTCTGGAGCCAAGGCCCCAGCGCCAGGCCCCGAGGGAATGGCCTCAAGCTGCCCAGGGCAGGGTCAGGCTGGCTCTGAGGAAGGATTTCTGTGCAGAAGGGGCTGTTGGGCGTTGGAATGGGCTGCCCAGGGCAGGGGGGGAGTCCCTGAGATCCCTGGAGGGGTTGAAGAGTCGGGCTGAGCCAGTGCTGAGGGATCTGGGGGAGTTGGGAACGGTCAGGGTGAGGGTCATGGTTGGGCTGGAGGAGCTTCAAGGGCTTTTCCAACCGTGATAATTCTAGGATTCTGTGACTCGTTGCACAGCCTGCAAGGGGCACCTGGGCTCAGCACGTGGTGGGACACTGCCCACCCCATCACAGCAGGTCAGGCCTCCTGCCCATCCCCGCCACTGCTCTGGGCTTTGTTATGCTGCCAGTTTGGGACCCATGGCAAGGTCTCCCCCAAACAGCCAATTCCCAGTGTTTTCACAGTGTTTCTCCTACTTGCAACCTGCTGCACTTCCTCTTTCCTTTTGAGGACAACCCAGAAACAAGCTCTCCTACCACAGAAAGGAGGAGAGCAGATGGTCTTTGCGTTGTGCAAATCCTTGTCCCCAGAGAACATCCTGGGTCTCAGAAACACCTCAAAGCAGAGAGGGGGAGAGAAGAAGGAGCTGCAGCCATCAGCAGCCACCCTTGCAGCAACTTTACACCCAGGACCCGCTCCCAGCTGGTGCAGCCAGTGCCATGCAGGGAGAGGCTGATAACCAACAGAGTGTGTTGAACCTGGTGGCTGTGTTTGAAGAGCACTGGTAAGGAGGGAGGGTCCTGGGCGCTGTGGGTGTTTTAGGGCTCCACGTGGCGTGGGTTTTGGAAGGAAGCAACCCACCACGGAGGTGGTTTGGAGGCTGCAGAGAAGCTGACTAGGTGATTTGCTGTTCTATAGCACTTGGATCTGCTTCGGTGTCTTCCTCCTGCTGCAGGTCACAGGCAGAAATCTGAAAACCTCGGTGGGATGTGACTGACTTTGCTGGAGGTTTCAGCCCCTAGCTCGGGGTTAGGTTGTGGCATGCTTGTTCCCCCTGCGCTCAGCACCTTTGCAGACAGCCTGGCTGGTGAATGCTTCTTCCCCTGTTGCTGGGGAAAAAGGATTTTGGTTTACAAATATGTAGGCAGAGGTCTTCACTGGGAATTAACTGCTTGAGTGTCTGGAAGGATCCGAGCCTCCAGCACCAGTCTCAGACTATCCAGCTGTTTGCAGCAATGTGGTTTCTAGGAAAGGGAAGAGAAAGCATCACATTAAGAGGGAGAGCAAGTTTTTTGGGGGCTACATGGCAGCCCTGTAAAACAGTGCCTTCACTTGGAGTGTGAGCTGGGACCCTCAGACAAGTGTGTGCTGGGGTCGGAGCAAGGGGATTTGCCTTGCCTCTGGGGTAGAAGTAATTCTGAGGTTTGGGGCGAGTTGTTGCTGTAGTCTGTGCCTTAGTTTCCCCATCTGTTGAATCAGCATACCAAATCTTGCCTTTCTTTGTATCAGTGAGTGCTCTCAGTGAGCCTTGGTGGGGCTGGGTGGTTGGGCGGATGACTTTTGCAGCACTTCTAAAGATGGTCAGGCATGAGGTTTCCTTCTGCTCCAGGAACTTCGCCTGCATCTCAGCTGTGTGCTTTGCCCTGGACTTTGTGCTCTGCCTGGCTCCAGAGCAGCATGATTGTCCCCATGGTCCCACAGTTGAAATTTGGCCCCTGATGCTGTTGCATTGGAACCGTTTGCAGCATTTGATCTGCCTCCATTTTGCTGCTGCAGTGTGTTTGTTGTTTATCATGAAGCATGAGTTCAATTTAGAGGAAATAAAAGTAACTTACAACTTTCAGAGGAAGCTGGGGAACCTGGAAATGAGCTTTCTGGAACAGAAAACAGTTTAGCCCAACTCAGCACAAATAGAAAGAGAGAAGTTCCTGGTCAGATCTCAGCAGTGGGTTTAGGCTAGGAGGCACCTGGAGGGACAGATAAAGCCAGTCTCTCACATGAAGGGTTATGCCAGCCCCCCTGGGCAGGAGGGGGTGCATGGATGGCTGCAAATGCACTCCTGAGCTGACAGACACATGCTCACCAGCATGGGGAGGGACCTATCATCCTCTTCAGTTGAGTCTCTGCCCCTCCAGTCACTTCCCATCCTCAACTCTGCGGTTTTATGTTCACTTTCATCCTGGTTTTCCCCTCCTCATCTCACTCCTGTCTGCAGGCCACCAGTGGATATCTTTCCAGTTTCTGCCCAGAGCAATTTACCGCAGGGGCCAGCTCTCAGGAGACACACAACTCGCTTGCTGTCATCTTCAGGGCCTGTGCCCTTTGTGGTTTCTCCCTCATACCTGCTCTGAAAAGGGAATCTATACCAGAAAAGGGAAGAGAAAAAAACACCAAAAGCCTAGTCCTCTACAAAACCACCTACACAAGCCCTCCTCTTGGCTGACCCCTCTTGGCTATTTGGCTTTTAAACCCTCGTGCCCAAGGCTGCAGGCAGAAAGCAAAGGGCAGGGCTGTGTTTCGGGAAATAAGCGGCTGTGTGTGGGATAAATGGCAGAGTCGTGGTTTTCTAGAGCGGGACGGGGACTGACCACATCAGCGGGAGGCACTGGGAGAAGAGAGGCCAGATCCTGGCCCCCATGGGGGATGTATGGGCTGTCAGACCCCTGTTTGTATCACCAGGGTGGTAGCAGAGCAAAGCGGCATCAGTGCTGGGGTGCTGCTGTGTCTTATCGCCTTCACTTGGGGGTGGTGGGTTTAACCTGGGCCTGGGAGCTGGGTGGGCCCCGCTGCGCTGGGGAAAGGGGTGAACTGATCCCCCTGATTCCTCTGTGACAGGGCCGGCATGTTTGCCTGGAGGGACAAGCAGGCTCCACATGGCCAGACTACAGCAACCAGCCAGCCCCCACAGCTTCCAGCATCCCCTGCCAGCCAGAGCTTCTCCCAGACAGCTGCCAGGCTCCAAGAGGAGCAAGAGAACAAGGAGGAGGAGCAGCAGCAGGACCAGAGGAGGCTCAGCTTCAAATGTGTCCGCTCTTTCCGACACAAGATCAGTGAGGACAACTGGAGGAGGCGGCAGGGCCCAGGTCTTGAGCCTGGCAGCAAGGTGAGCTCTGGAGGCTGGTGGGTTCCTGAGCTCGAGTGGGGAGTCACAGGGGCTGGATCGGAGCTGAACTCTCTGCTGACTCTGAGCAGGTCCCTGCCCTGCAACGGGCCAGTGTGGGTGACAGAGACATGGCCCTTTCCCTGGTGCTTCGGGCATAAACTCCCCATGGCCAAGTAGATCCGAGCAGACCTCGTCTCTTCCAGCTCTGATATAACTACGCCATGGGGGTCAGATGCACAGGTGGGCCCAACTCGCTCCATCCCAGGCTGTCCCCAGGGCTGTGCTGCCCTGTGCTGACTGCAGGCTCCTTTCTGCAGGACTGCATTCAGTTCCACGGTGCAATTGTAGACTGTGGCGTTAACCCACCCCCACCCTGCCCCACTCCCAAGGATCAATAGCCCTGTATTGTGTTGGGAGAAACAAGCACAGAGAAAAAAGTGACCCAGCAGGACATGAGCCAGGCTTCCCAACTGTCCCAAACCAGCTTTGATTTCACTGCATGCTTTGTACAGATCCTTCCCTTGCTCTCACATGAAGTGAGGTCCAGTTTGATGCTGGTCTGTGGTCTGTCAACACTGGGGAACAGAGCTGAATCCCCTCAGGCTGGTGAGGGTCACGTGTCTACCCACAAGACTGAGCTCTTCTCCCCATGCAGGAACCAGAGGAGAAGAAAATCGCTCTGGAGCTGCTGGAGACAGAGCAGGCTTATGTCAACCGTCTCCACCTTCTCGACCAGGTGAGCTGGGGAGCAGAGGGCCCATGCAGGTCTGTGGAGCAATAGCCCTGCTGTCGTCTGCCCCCACCAGTACAGCTCAGCCACCCCTCACTGACAAGCTGGGCAGGACCGTGGTGCAGCTCCACACTCACCAATTTTTCTGTGGTCCTTGGTAGGGCTTGAATCCTGTGGCAATGCCTTGGGCTCAGTTCAGGGTACGTACAGGCCAGGGATTGTTGCCTGGAGGTTTTTGGAGAGAATGAAGCTGTACAGATGAGAGCCACACTGGACTGATGGTCTTTATGGCAAGAGAATGGGTCTGGCCTTTGCCTTTCCTACACCCCACACCTCCACGGGGCACCTTTGTCCTGTCAAAGCCTTCCATCCCCCTGCTTCTCTCTTGAGGCCTGGGATTTCCCTCCTGCACAGAGTCAGGCATTTTCCCCAGGTGGTGGCCAGTCTCAGAGAGAGAATGGGATCCTCAAGCCTTTTCCTGATCCCTTTTTATTCACCCCCTCTTTCTTCCAGGTATTCTACACAGAGCTGATGAAAGAAGCCAAAAACGGGAAGACGGTCCCAGAGGAGGTGGTAAAAATGATGTTCTCCAACATCTCCTCCATCTACCAGTTCCATGCCAAGTTCTTCCTGCCAGAGCTGCAGAAGCGCATGGAGGATTGGTGAGCTGCAGGAGCTGGGGGGAGGATGCCTGGGTTGCTTTGCCAGAACGGGGGAGCAGTGATGAATTTGGTCTCCCATCAGGACCAGAGCTCAGCCTGTTTTGCTCTAAATGTCTTTGTGCTGGAAAGCACTTTCCTAAAACACTCCAGCCCAGATCAGGGGATTTCTGAAAAGAGGGGTGACATCTCAGGTGGTTTAGGGGTGTGCCCAGGCACAAACAGCCCAGACTGGGTGCGAGCTGAGGACATTCCCATTCTGGAGGGCAGGAAGTTCTGTGGGAACAGAGCAAGTTGCAGTGGTAAAAAAAACCTCTGTCCCCCACTGTGCACAAGCTGCCCCTTTGCTTTATCCCTCGCTGTCTGCCCCGCTGGACTGAGGGAGCTGCTGGTCTGTGCTTCCCTCCTGCAGGAGCTGCAACCCCCGGATCGGGGATGTGATCCAGAAGCTTGCACCGTTCCTCAAGATGTACGGTGAATACGTGAAGAACTTTGACAAGGCCGTGGAACTCATCACTGTCTGGTCAGAGAAATCACCACCCTTCCAGGAGCTCATTGCTGACATCCAGGTAATAGGCTGCAGCAGGGTGGGGGACCATAGCAGTGCTCCCCAAAACCTCCCTGCAAGGGGGAGGCAGCAGAGGGTGGGGGGAGCTGCCTCAGTCACTGTTTCTCCTTCTCTCTGTGTGTTGTCTCTCCCCAGAAGAGGAAGGTCTGTGCTAACTTAACGCTGCAGCACCACATGCTGGAGCCTGTGCAGAGGATCCCGCGCTACGAACTCCTCCTCAAAGATTATGTCCGAAAACTACCCCCCGAGTCCCCAGACAAGGACGATGCAGAGAGTAAGGGCTCCACCGGGCTGTCCCCGCTGTGGGGAGTGGCAGGGTGGGTCTGTAGGGGAAATAACAATGCCTGGTGTTGTACACGGGCATCAGGATACCTGGATTCTCTCACCGGCTGCCCTGTGCCCTTGGATAAAGCTCTCAGTCTGACCCTCTTCTAGGAGGGAAAGGGGTTAATCTGCCCTTCCAGGGTCTGTGGAGGTCAGTGGGGAAGGGGGGTGGGTCAGGGTAAGGATAATCCCTCCAGAGCATCCCCCAGGGAGCCCTGCAGTGGCCGGGGGAGCTCTCAGACCCCTACGGACAGCAGCAGCCCCCAGTCCTGCTGGGATGGAGGGACAAACGAGCTGGCTGGCTGTCCCCCCAGGACCCGACCGCGCCACGCCGCACAGTCCAGCCAGACCCAGACGCTTGTGCAGCGTTTCAGGGCCATTCAGGTTGTGTCCAGGGGAGGGCAGCATCCACCACACGCGTGTCTCCCCCGTGAGGGAGAGACCCAGGGGTTTTCTTCCACAGCTCCCTACCAAGTGTTTAACCTCCACCCTTTCTCTCCTCGTTGCAGAGGCCCTGGAGATGATTTTTATGGTGGCCAAGCACTCAAACGCAGCCATCGCCGAGATGGTGAGTGCCTGTCCCAGCTGGCAGTGCTTTGCGGGTCACGGCACAGCAATTTGAGAGATTTCCTCATGGCCTTAGAATCATAGAATGATCCAGGTTGGAAAAGCCCTTGAAGCTCCTCCAGCCCAACCATGACCCTCACCCTGACCGTTCCCAACTCCCCCAGATCCCTCAGCGCTGGCTCAGCCCGACTCTTCAACCCCCCCAGGGATCCCGGGGACTCCCCCCTGCCCTGGGCAGCCCATTCCAACGCCCAACAGCCCCTTCTGCACAGAAATCCTTCCTCAGAGCCAGCCTGACCCTGCCCTGGGCAGCTTGAGGCCATTCCCTCGGGGCCTGGCGCTGGCTCCTTGGCTCCAGAGACTCATCCCCCCTCTCTGCCCCCTCCTGGCAGGGAGTTGCCGAGGGCCAGGAGGTCTCCCCTCAGCCTCCTCTGCTCCAGACTGAACCCCCCCAGTTCCCCCAGCCGCTCCCCAGCAGACCTGTGCTCCAGACCCTGCACCAGCTTGTTGCTGTGTGACCCAGTGGAGCACAGCCCTGCCCTGAACGGGCCAGGAGCACTGTGGGTTCAGTAGAGGAGATTAGACCCTGCCCTTGATGCCTGACCCCGTCACCCTGAGCCTGGGGAAGTGATGTCTGCAATGTCAGCCATGATGTGACTGGCTGCTCAAGGCTGGGAGCTGCTCTTAAAGATCAGTGTGGGGTGAGAGAGCTGTGCTGCCTCTCCTAGTACTCAGGAGGTGGGATGGAGGGGTGGCGAGGCTGTGGCTGCTCAGCTCCCCACACAAACAGGTCCCTCTGTCTCCCCCAGGAGCGGCTGCAGAAGCTCTGGGTGGTCTATCAGCGGCTGGGCCTCGAGGACGACATTGTGGATCCCTCCAACGAGCTGATCAAGGAGGGGCCAATCCAAAAAATTTCTACCCGCAACAAGAGCACATCGGAGAAGTACCTGTTCCTGGTGGGAGCTGGGGTGCCTGGGGGAAGGGACCAGATGAGATGGGATGTGGGGAGAGGGCCAGCACAGCCTGGCCGGGGTCTTGATGGGTCATCCCTACACAGAGGGTGGGAATTCAGAGCTGGGGTTCTCGTCCCCCCCAGGGCAGAGCACCCTGTCAGGACATGGTTGGGAACGTGCTGATCCCCTGGGCACAGCAGCCCTTGCCATGCTCCCAGAGCGCTTCACCTTTGCAGGGTGGGAGAGGTCTGGGGCAGAAGCAGTCATCTTTTAGGCTGGATTCTTCCCAAGGACCAGCTCAACTCCAAGGTGGGGGGCAGGGGGGGTGAAGCACCCCTAGATCCCAGGGGAGCCCCCAGCTCTGAGCAGGCAGGTGCTGAGCTCTGACCAACAATCATCCTCCCTTGCCCAGTTCAACAACATGCTGCTGTACTGCGTGCCCAAGGTCATCCAGGTGGGCGCAGAGTTCCATGTCCACCTCCGCATCGACATGGACAGCATGAAGGTCAGACAGGCACCTTGTCTTTGTGCTTCCCCCAGCCCCTGGTTCCTCCAAAATACACCCCACTTCGGGGTGTAACGTGGCCACTGCCCTGCACTTCCTTGGGAAGGAGAGGGGAGCTGGGGCCAGGGGTGGCTTTGTGGGTGAGGATTTGTTGATATGCTCTGATCCAGGTGAAATCTTGTGCACGTAGGGTTTGAGGGGCTGAAGGGCTTGTGCCTGAGGGAAGTCCCTGTCCCCTGCATCATGGAGGAAGGTTCCTGCATGCTGGAGGTGGGTTCAGCTACTCCACACCCTTTCTTCGGTCTCTCTCAGGTGCAGGAGCTGAATGACATGCAGTTCCCTCACGCCTTCCTGGTCTCGGGAAAGCAGCGGACGCTGGAGCTGCAAGCCAGGTAAGGGGAAGGGTGATGGTCCTGCAGATCCTCGAGGAGGAGGGACAACGGCTTATCCATCTCCCTTTTTGTACCCAGGTCTGAGGAGGAGATGAATGCCTGGATCAAGGTATCCCCGAGTGCTGGGAGAGGTGGCCCATCTCACTCAGCCCAGCTGGGTGCCCTGTGGCAGGGGCAGCCCCTGCTCCTGCCCCTCCAGCCCTGCCTTCCCCTCTAGGCTTTCCAAGATGCCATTGACAGGAAAGAGAAGAGGAGTGAGACCTTTAAGACAGCAGTCCATGGGCTGGAGATGGGCACCCCTGCACTGAAGGTAACCCCCCTGCGCTCCCCACGCCCTGCCTGCCTCCAGCACCCCCTGCACAGCAGCTCAGGAGAGCCCACCTTGCCGTGCCTCAGTTTCCCTAGCTGAGCAGAGCTGGGAGTAGGCTGCGGACGGGGAGAAGGGCTGAGGACAGGAAGGGTTGAGAGCAGAGGGGCTGAGACCACCCAGACCACGACTAGCCAGCCCCAGTGACGCTGTCTCCCACCCCCAGGCAGAGGAGCTGGGCCGCCGAGCTCCTCAGTGGGTGCGGGACAACCTGGTGACAATGTGCATGCGCTGCAAAGAGCCCTTCAACGCCATCGTGCGCCGGAGACACCACTGCCGGGCTTGTGGATACGTGAGTCACCCCGTCCCTGCTCTCTTCCCTCCCTCACGGCCTCCTCAGGTGGCTGCTGCGGCAGGAGCACACCTCTCCTGCACCTTGTACCCCTTTCCCTGGGGAAAAATCCTTGGGATTTTTCTAAACTCCCAAGACAAAGGGGGTATTGGTACTTATTGGTATTAACAGATACCTTCTCAGGCTGGCCAGAGGCATTCCCATGCAGAACTAATAAGACAAGAGAGGTTACCGAAGTGTTACTGAATGCAATCATTCCCTGATCCGGAGTGCTGGCAGCAAGACGTAATGTTGGTCTCACATTGGGGATAGTGCGGAGTTGTGAATTCTAGTTGTTGTACATACATAGATGAAACAGGAAAAATAAATGTTGATTTAAGAATAATATTACAATAAATAGGTATTTTACAGGAGATACAAAAGGATGATACTTCTTTAGGCTTTGAAGAAATATGGAACAAGCTTACTTCATGGCTGCCAAACTTCAAACAGTTCAAACAATTACTCATATTGATCACAAGAATAGCTGTGATCATTATAATAACTTGTTTGACAACTCAGTGTCGTAACTGCTACTCACGATACAGCGAATTCATTTAAATGAGGGATAGAGCTATAGGCTCAGGGCTGCTCCTGCCCCCCCAGCTCCTCGTGGCCTTGTCCCCAGGATCACCCAGCCCTGCCCCAGTCTCACCAGTGTCCCTGTCTGGTGGTTGTAGGTGGTGTGTGCCCACTGTTCAGACTACAGGGCCGAGCTACAGTACGACAGGAACCGCCTGAACCGCGTGTGCCAGGAGTGTTACATCTTCCTGACGGGCCACGTGGTGCTCGAGGACCGGGAGGGGAAGCACAAAGGCATCCTGGAGGTGAGCTCTGCCCGTCCTCCCTGCTCCTCTCTCCCTCTGAGCGCTGCCACCCGCCCTGGTCCCCCTGCCGGGGTCACTGTCACAGCCGGAATGTGCACCTGCCCCAGGAGGGGTGGGAGTCTCTCCGCAATCGGAGGTGCCGGCTAACGGCCAGGCTAGGGGATGTGCTGAGCTCCCTCCCTCCTGCTCTGAGCCTGCCCGTGGCTTGGGGGGTTTTGTGGAACGGGCAGGGAATTCCCCAGGAAATGACCTTCACTCGGTGCCTCCCCACGGGGTATTTAAGGGATTTGTCTGTTGGGTTTTTTGTCAGAAAGGAGCCGCTGAGGTATCAGGCAAGAGTTTGCTGTGCAGTTCCCTGCAGCTGCTGGACAAGAATGGGAAGGGGGGCACACGGGGCTGGTTCGTGATTCCACAGGATGATCCCCTCGTGCTGTACATCTACGCAGCTCCCCAGGTAAGGCCTGGCCTGGCTCCATAGAATCAGAATCACGGGATCATTCAGGTTGGAAAAGACCCTTGGGATCATCTATCTCGCAGCACGTCCCGCTGTGCCCAGCCCCTGCCTCCCACCGCTGTCTCCGCTCTTGGCAGGACGTCCGAGCCCACACCTCCATCCCGCTCCTGGGCTACCAGGTGAAGGACCTGCCCCAGGGCGACTCCCGCCACCTCTTCCAGCTGGCTCAGTCCCGGCAGCTTTACACCTTCGTGGCCGACACCGAGGAGCTGAAGCGGCGCTGGATGAGGGTCATGGCGCGCTGCGCCGCGGGGATCACGGGCCCGGAGGAGGGCGAGGATGCAGACTCCGGCGAGGAAGCCGACTGAGGCCGTGCCCACTTCCCGCCCTGCCCGGTGGGTCAAACCTCCCCCCTGCCCCTCCTGCCTTTTGGGTTTTCATCAGGAAAAGCCCAAGGCACCGGTACGGTTGTCACTGCATGGACAAGCCAGATCCCCCGTCCCCTCCCTCCTTGCTCGCTGCGGACAGAGACGTTGGAGGTACCCGAGCCGTGAGGGGCACCAGGGGGTTTTGGGGAGCCCGCGCCCCTGCGCCCGCTGTGCCGACAGCTGCCGCCCGAGGGCAGTAATGGCTCAGCCTTGAGCCGAGCCTGGCCCCGGCAGGGGATGGTGCAGGGGGGATGCCCAGTCTTGTGAAAACATCTGTGGAATTGAGACTGTTCTAATAAATCCTACCTGCAACCCTCCGTGCGCAGTCTGAGGAGCCTTTTTGGGGGTGTATTTTCCAGAGCACCCCGCGGGATGGTCCCCAGAGCCCCACATCACCTCACCTGCCACCAGCCCCAGCCTGTAGCTCACCCTCACCCAGCTCAGGGACCCCAGTGCTGGATTTAGGGTGTCCCTCTCCCAGCCCATCACCCCTCCTGGCCTCACACTGCTGCGATCCCATGGTGGGGGGGTACCCCTTAACCACAGACACCCCCAACCTGCATCCCCCTGCCAGCCTGCGCTCCTGCCCTCCCCAGACTTTCCTTGCACCCATCCTGCCCACGGGCACCTTCCACCCTTGTTCCTCTCTGTCACCCATTTCCTTGGGGGGAAACACTCTGGGACAAGGCTGGTCCACATGGGTGGTGCTGCTGGGGAGACACGGGGGAATTCCCCCCTTCATCATCAGCATAACGAGCACCCCTGATTGTTTCACCCACTGCTGCAGGCTGCAGCCCCATGTTTCTGCATCTACTTTAGCACCCAAAAATGTTGCCCGGGCAGAAGTTGCCACCTGTGGGCTGGGGGAGCCCGCTGGCCGTGGCAGGCTGGGATCGCTGCCTGCACCTGGGTCAAGTACCAGCTCCGGCCCACAGCAGCTTCAGGGTGTCACGGCGGGAACGGGCCCGTGGGGAGCGGGAAGGGAAGTGAGGTGGGGCCTGATACTGCAACTGAGGGCAACACTCAGGGGTAGGATCGGGACTAAAGATGAACCACGCTGTCACTGCTTGGGGG